TTGGCCGTGGATGAAATCGAACGCGATATATAAAAAAAAAAAAAAATAAAAAATAAAAAATAAAAAATAAAAATAAAAGAAAGAAAAGAGAAATAGATAAAGAGGATGGAGAGAAATTCTTGGATGATTTAAGGGCGAGGGAAGCACGATTGACCTCTTGCTAAGTCTAGAGAACAAGAAAAGATGTGTTCCTCGTTTGAAACGCGATGGTCGAGTAGCAATAAAAGTCAGTGAGTCCGGATAATCGAGAGAAATCCAACCTAGCGAACCGATGTCTCTTTGATACTGTATCACTCACGTTTCAAATGTTTCCATTGCTTCGTAAATTGAGAAACAACCGGTCGAATCGATCGGTTTCGCTTCGATACTTTTTACGAGTGTGTATTTTTAAGTTCCATGGTTTCGATGTTACGAGAAATCCTTGATATAATACGTTTTCTGTTTCAATTGTTCGTGAAAAATCGTTGAGGATGAATTTCTTTTTTTCCATCATAAGAAAAACTTCGTTCCATCTTTATATAATGAATTAATATTGATTTCGAGTTTTTTTTTTTTTTGGAACATTTAGAGTCGAGATTTTGAAATGGATTTATTGTATAACTCATCTATGTTTTTCTCGTATCCTTTATGGACGACAAAGGAAAATTTTTCTCTCGGTGTTAATTAGAGAGAACCTAATATTTCTTCACTGGCCAGACGAATTAAACAGGCGTGGAACAGTTTCACGTATTCGCCAATTTAACCGTGAAAAGATTCACCGTGCATGTGCAAGCAAAACGTTATACACTGCACGCTGTTGTGACGTATAATATCTTCCTTCCTAGGTCGTTCGTACTTGCCCAAGGGAGCCTTGCTTCCTGCAGGATAATAAATAATTTAGTCCAGGAAATGTTGCAAGTTATTACGGTCCACACCGTATCCAGTTTACTTGGTTGACAGAAAAAAGCTCGTATCGCATCAGATTTATTTAAGATCCGCGTCCTTCCTCTCCATTCATACATTTCTTTTCATTTTTTCACAATTTTATTTCCCCTCCCTATTTTTTTCGTTTACGAAACTGGAGAAATTCGTGATTCAAAACTCGTATTTTTTTCTTTCCTCCTTGAAAAATTTCGTGTGTGGATGCAAATTAAGACTTGTGAGTATGAATTTATATTTGCCCAATGGGGCATATATATTTGTATAACGTGGATTCAGAATAGTAGAGGGGGAATGCAGTTGTGAAGTTTGTATAGGAGGAATTGATCGCAACAAATTCGACTAATCTGATTTATCTGATTATATACTTTTCCAATTTTAATATTTTTATTATTTCGTATTATTTTCAAATTATTTATAATTTTAAGATGTTGAAATTTTATTCAAAGTTCCATTAAAATTTATGAACATTTAAATAAATGCTGTAAAAATAATTTTAAAAAAAAAACTTCGTATATTATGAACACAATAAAAATATTATGGAAATGGATCAGATGCATCTAGGTGAATAATATGCATACGTACAATCCACGAAAATGAAATATTCATAATATACAAGCAAACATGAATTCTTATGGAGAAATACGTATATTTATATTTTTAGTATGGATTTGAAATTATGAAATATTATTGAAATATTATGTCGATGAACGAAATGTGAAGGAATACAGCGTCGAAAATTACACATTGGAAAAGTATATAATAGAGGAATCGTAATGCATTCTTGGCAAGAAAATTACAGGACAGATGCGTGAAACGTATCGTGTAAGTACAGCAGATTCCACATGCAATAAATCATATATATTACAACTAGAATTTTCACACATCGTTATAATGCATTAACAACTTTTGTAAATTTTGTGAAGATGTATTCTTGAATGGAATTTGTTTTCGTCATTTCGAAGCGATTATATTATTTTACTTTCAATTCTTGATAAAATAAAAATTAAGAGAATATTCTCATAAATATTCCACTGAAAAAGTAAAATTAAATTTATTTAATCTTGAGAACATTAAGACGGAATATCTCGTTTATATCTTTATTGAATCTCGTATTCGATGTATTCGATTGATATCCTATATTCCGTCTTGTTAAGTATAGACAAGGAGAGTAAATAGTGGAAGAAGGATAGAGATATAGTAAAAATTATGTAATCAGCGTCATCTCTAGAGTGTCGCAGATGAAACATATAGACGGAGAAAGATATAAGTGGAAGAAGGATAGAGATAGGGTAAAAATTATGAAATCAACGCCATCTCCAGAGTGTGTAGATGAAACATATAGATGGAGAAAGGTATTAGTGGGAGAAGGATAGAGAAAACGTCAGAAGTGATTGTCAGCGCCATCTCTAGGCGAATAGTGGCTGTGTCAAGTGTGAAGTTTGAATGTTTTTGCGTGCGTCTATTAAGAGAAGAATTTGTTTGAAAGTGAATAAATTTTTGTGCAAAAGAAGAATGAATAGGATGCCGTTGTTGAGATCTTCAATTGGCAGCAACTTCAATATGGTGAGTCTTGAGAAATCATTATTATTTAATAAAATATATCTCGTCGTGCAGCCGATGTCGCAGTATAATTGTATACGTTATAAAAAATAATACGAGCGTGATTACATTTCGTAGATAGAAAATTTATTAAGATAATGGATTATATTCTCGTTTTCGTTTCTAAAATCATAAAATATAAGCAGATTTTTACTTTGTAGTTTTTGAATGATTTCAATTTGCATATACGTACTTAGATTATAGCATACTAGATGGCGCAAAAAGCAGTCTACTCTTTTCTGACATCGGTAAATATGACGCAGTTGCATAAGATAACGACTATTCTATTATTTCTGTGTTAATTAAGAGATGGCGCCACCTTTACAATTTTCACTCTATTTCTATTCTTATTCTCATTACTTGCTCTCCTATAGTTTGTAAATTTTTAACTTACAAAGATATATTAATTATTTTTATAATTCTGCTCAATTTATTAAATTTATCTGAAAATGATTCTCATTTTATCTTCCCATGGAAATATCATTGAATTCCATAGCAGCATCTGCAATAGTAGTTTTAGAATCAATAAGTTTTTCCATTGATAAAATTTAAAAGAAACTTATAATTTTATAGTTGTCTTACATCACAATATATTACTTCTAGTACATATACATTAATATCTTTCACATTTTCATATTTTCTAATCAAATTTATCTTCTATTTCCATATTCAACTTTATGAATCCATTCTAGGATTTTTAAAATAACTTTAAACTTTCTTATTAAGACACAATCATCCAATATTTTATACGTATCTTCTTCTGCATCAAATTAATCAATAATATTTCATCTCATCTCTTCATTCTGAAAAACTTTACTCCAAATTCTTGTTTATATTTAATATCATACCTAATAATTATCAATTAAACCAGCAACGTTGAACATTCTCTCCAGAATAATACCATTGTCAAAATTAAAAAAGTAACAGTAGAATAAGAAAGGAGGAAGAGGAGAAACTAAGTCGATGCAAAGGAAGTTATAGGTCTCGATTCTCTTCCTGACAAACCCTGATAAATATTTATATCTGACTTCCTCGAAACCAATAGTTTCGCCTCCTGTATCCCACTCGGAATTTTACCCTCTTGTTTTCTTGCTGATAGACTGTTCCCGTGCTCACGTTCCACGCACGTTGGTCGGTAACACAGATAGCATTGTAATGCCCTATTTTAACCAACAACCGGCTGCCGAAGAATTCGAACGTTTCCGGAATAATCTCCGGATTCGGATGCCTCGCAATTCTTCCTCGAGTGTCTCTTCCGACTCTTAGTTTCCATTCGACCATCCTTGCCTCCTATACCGTATTCTATGTGAGGGTACGCGCCCTATGTGTATCGTTTCCACCGCGTATTGGCGAGGTATTGGAAACGTGGGCTCGAGGTATCACGTCCCGCCAATCGAGCCAAAGGTTGAAATTTTTAAGGGATGGGAATAAAAATGGGAAAGTCGTGATTCACATGCTATCTCATTCTTATGCTGATTATGATACCATGAAGATCTCGGTTCGTCAAATTTTAAATTGATCGCGTAAGAAAGGGGATTATTTTCTTTAACAAGAAAACTGTCGAATATTTTTTCTAAAGAAAATTCTTCCTTTAGATTTTCTTCGATCCTTTGATTTATTTATATCTTCCATCCAATGAACACACACACTTTTAATTTTCCTTTATATTTCCTCTTATTTTGAGATCGTTACTATCAATTTTTCTTTCTTCCATTAATGAATCATCCAATCTTTCAATTCTTCTTCCTCTTCAACCGAGCAGTACAGTACACTTTCTTCAGAAAATAAACGCAGGATCATTCGAAACAGTATCCCCTTCCCCTCATTATCCATTAAGCATCGGGGATCCACCATAAAAAAACTGGCACGTCAACACACACGCCACCCCCAATTTACAATTAATCAATCCGCGGCCGCTTAAACAACCCCCTGAGCGTGACTTCAAAGACTGGTGACACCGTTCCGGTATATAAATCATCGCCGATTTCCCGATTTCGAACCCTCCCTCCTCCCCCCTCTCCTCCCCTCCTCGGCCCAAACGCTTTCACCGTCACCGTCAACCGGGATGCCGGGAGTATCTCGACTGCATA